AGGGCGGCCTCCTGGTGGTCGCTGAGCCCGCTGCGGACGGGGACGTGGGCGAGCCAGTCCGTGTACTTCTCGCGGAAGAAGGCCTTGCCCAGCTTGGTTAGGTGGTAGTTGCCGTCGGGCTGCAGGGAACGCACAGGCTTCTTCAGCCCGGAGCGGAGGAGGATGTAGTCCGTGGGCCCCTCTCGGATGAGGGGCTGCTCCTCGTCGAACTGCCCTGGTGAGCTCGCCGTTGGGGCGGGACAGTAGGACCTCGAGGCGGTTGTTCGCGAGGGGGAGCCGCTGCGAGCCCTGGGCGTTCTGACGCCGCCCTGGGCCGCTCGGCGGATGGCCTCTCGTTGCTGTGCCCAACTGGACATGGTGTGAGTTTTCTAGGGCGCAGAGTCGAACGAGGCTGCAGAAAAAAGGCCAGCGAGCCTTGAACAGTCAGGCACCACCTCCACTCGCTGGGACCGCCATGCCACAACCTAGAGCCTCTCCCCACAAGGGTGGATCATCGGCCCTAGGCCCCGGCTCAGCGTGCCCCACTAGGGTAGAGTAGGATAGACGACGCGACAACGACGCGTGCGCAATTGTAGGTTCCAGCATTCGTTGTGCGCTCATGCTTGCTTGTGCACAGCACAGTCGCCCGGCAGCCGTTTTTGCATCGAAACTTTTTCGGGAGCATGTCGGAAATCGACCGATTCCTCCGCTTGCAGCGACGCGAGCGCATGCGGCAGCTCGCCAGTCTGTGAACAGAGGTCCTCGCCCGGAGCTCACGGTGGCAGGGGGCACTGATTGGACAGGCTTGTTTTCGCTGCTGACTTAGATTGCGCTCCTTCACGAGATCTCCATCACCCAGATGGAGAGGCTCGCTGTTGGACTCATGGCCGCCGCGGCCTCAGGTCTAGAACTGCAACATTATAGAGTGGGCTCAGCCACGCTGCCAGGCACAGCTGGAAGCAGAAGAGAGCCGACGCGAGGTGGGGTTTGCAGAGGCTTCAATTGTTTCTGTTTTGGCTTGCCGCTGCAGGAGGACGAAATGGTCGAAGTCCAGGTAGAGGAGGAGGCCTCCGTCTCCAAGCCCCAACCCTGAAACCCAAACCCAAACAAGTGATGTGGCTGTGCCGTGGCAGGAGGATGAGAGAGCACGCAGCAGAAGCCCCAGGCGCTAGATGCTGCGACAGTAGCCGAAGTCAGTTCGAAAGGAACACTTCGTTCAGATACTCGGTGAGCACGTGCTGCAGTGACGAGGCAAAAGAACCTGGGTCTGGAGATGGGATAGCAACAGTCGAAAGGGAAGACGTGTGTTGGGTTGACAATCGGGTTGACAATCGGGTTGACAATCGGGCTGACAATCGGGTTGACAATTGGGTTGACAATTGGGTTGACAATCGGGTTGACAATCGGGTTGACAATCGGGTTGACAATCGGGTTGACAATCGGGTTGATAATCGGGTTGACAATCGGGTTGACAATCGGGTTGACAATCGGGTTGACAATCGGGTTGACAATTCCGGGGGGTGGGTGGGGTTGACAAACGAACTCGCACAGCCCAGAAACGACCGAAAAGCTGCGGCCTCTCTCTTATGAAGCGGAGTGTTGGACCCACAATCGATCGTCTAGAAGGGAGCTGATTCAAAATTGCATGGGCTCTCTCTTTTGAAGCGGGGTGTTGGACCCACAATCGATCGTCTAGAAGGGAGCTGATTCAAAATCGAAAGGGTGTCGAGCCTACAGCCTCGGGCCAAAAACGAAAGATCGACAGGGCTCAGGGGCGTAGGACGCAACGATCTTTCGGTCTTTTAGCCCCAAAATTTTCCTCGCAATCGGAGCTCGACGATTGTGGACTCTCTCGCTCCCCCACTCTCTCACTCCGCTCTCTCCGCTCGCTCGACTCGCTTCGCTCGTCCGTTCGCTCCGTGAGCTCGTTCGGTTCGCTCGGGTCCACAATCGTCGAGCTCCGATTGGCTCGTCCTAAATTTTGGGGCTAAAATGCCGAAAATCGTTGCGTCCTACACCCTTGAGCCCTGTCGATCTTTCGTTTTTGGCCCGAGGCTGTGGACTCGACACCCTTTCGATCACACACACACACCCCCATAAAACAAGAAAAAAAAGAAGAAGCCACACAAAATCGTTTTATGGTGTTTTTTTTGCCAAGATAATAAAGAGAGAAAAGCAGACTTAATGCAACAAAACAATTCCAACCACAACAGAACAAGAAGCCACGCGAAACAAAACCAAAATGAAAAAAGACACAAACTCAAACCACATACAATCACGAACACAAAAAAACAAGAAGCCACGCTAAATTGCTTGGTAGAAGAAGAAAAAAATAAAAACAACGCAATCACGAAATCGCTTTATGGGGCGTTTTGCGAAGAAAATACATGTAGCACCCATACCCTTTTGAAGGTTTCCAAACTTGTTGCCTACAGCTGGATGGCAGGCTCCGCCGCGTCAGCCGTGTTAGACGCTTCCAAAGCGCTTGGGATAGTATTGCTAGGTTCCACATCCGTATAGAATGGGAGCAGGTGCCTTGCAGTGCCAATACTGTTGCCGATTCACAGGCGATGCGTTAGAAGCCGTGCTACAAAACCAAGCGGCCGTGCAAACTAGCCTGTATGTTAGCATCTTTGATGCTTTCCCTTCGGTTGCTCCGCCCACTGCGGAGCTTTCAAATGCCATTCTTGAGGCCTTGCAGCCATGTTTTTGCCGTTCCAGCAAGAATCTAAACAAGAAAACAATGAAGAACTTGTACAGAAAGATCCTAATGGGTGAAACAGGTCGCTACTTGCGACTCAACCGCACCGTTCGACCTTTCCAGAAGGAGTGTCTCTCTCAGTTGGCCTTCTTCGGCACGGTAAGCACCAAAGCAGAGCATCCTGGATCCGAGCAGGAAGAAGAAAGCCAAGCGCCCGGCTCCAACCAAGACGCCACATATACCCAGCAGATGCAATGTGACAGTAGCTGCGTGCTTGTGATACGGTGAAAGCTGGGCTGGACTGTTGCGCACTCGATTGGTCCTTGCGATGCCCACCCTTGGAAGCTGCAGAGCACATCGCATCGACTAAAGAGGCACTCGGACAACTTTCGACACATGCCTCGAAGCGCCGCGAGCTGGACGACTACCACGACTGCTATTGTTCGAACTCACCCGGAACAAATTTGTCTTGATTCACGGCGCTTTTCGATGTGAGCTGAACCGGGACGAGGAATCAAGTTCTACTTTACACAGACATGGCTTTCCAGTGGAAAACATCGACACTGGAAGGCACACAGCCTTGTTGATGGATTCAATCTTACCGATCATGTGGATACTGTGGGGGTACTCTGATGTGTCCTGCGTTTTTTGGTGTTTTTGGGGCCCCGAAAATGGGCTCATGAAGCTCGTCGAAAGTGTTGCAGAGTTGGGAAGCCTTGGGCGGAGGCTGTAAGGCTTGGAAAGCTCTTGGGAGGGACTTGCATGAACATTGCGCGAAGTGTTGCCCGAACTCGTGCCTAACCGGGGCAACAAGTCCGTGAGGGGTTCCTTTGCCTTGGAAGCAACGCCAACAGCTTGCAGGCCTACCTACCTTGTACGGTCTGGATGCCTTCAAATAGTGCCCGAATAATGCCCGAATAGTGCCGGAAATAGTGCCCGAAATAGTGCCCGAATGAACCCTTCATAGTGCCCAAATGTGAAAAACAGAGCGCGCAGCACTCGGTCTTTTTCTTGAGCCAAAGCGGAGTCGCGTCGGGCTCTGACTGACAGTGAAACACCTTGCAGCTGTCTGTCTCCAAGCAAAACACTTCAAGCACTAACGAAACGAGACGAAACGAACGTGCAGTCACTTCCTAACTCAAAAGCACTCCTCACAGCTTCAGGCATGCCGAAAACATCAGGACATCCAAGGTCAAATGGGATTTTCTTCCCGAGCGAGCAGACAGTCGCAGCTCCAAGGCTAAGTGGAAAAACAGACCTAAAACACTGATCTACAGAGGAGACTACCTGCCTACGGAAGCCTTGCCCCGTCACCCGAAAGTAACGAGGCAAAGCTGTTGCACGCAAGTCCCACTGGACCAAGTGTTGCAAAACAGTGCCCTGCAGGTTTGCCAATGAGCCACAAATTCAACGGGCATGCAGGCAGGAATGGCACCTTCAGAGAACACCGTAGACAAAGCAAGCGGAAGCATCCCCGTGCTTCCCAAGTTCCAGCTGCCGGCAGCCCACTACGACTGTACACAGCGACTACCGTGGAACTACAGCTAACTGTACAACGCCAGCTAGAGTCGTACAGACATCTTCCGATGGCCGCACCACTCTAGCGCCAGTGACGCGTTGACTCGTTCCGTAAAGCTCTGGAACCGCCTCGAAGTACAGGAAACAACCAGTTTGGCAGCGCTGGGCCCAAGTGGACCCCCGCTGAGCAACTGTGAGTAACTCTCCCTGCTTGGCCAGCACAAGGCCAGAACTCCAAGAGCCTTCAAGACTGTACCCAAGAAAAGTGCACATATTCATCAACCCTTGGCAGTGTGGCTCTACTGCTGCTCACCGTGGGAGCGCAAAACAGCAAAACTGCACAAGAAACCCGCAAGGCTCAAGACTGGAAGCGAGCAGTGCACATAGTCATCATTCCTCAGTGTGTTGCGCTGGTGCTGCTCACCATGGGAGCGCAAAAGCTGCAAACTACCGGGGAGAGGCTGGATTAGAACCCTGGCTAAAGGCAAGCTTAGTTTGCTTTTGGTCCGCTTGCTTTTTGGACTTACCTTTCGGGGCAACAGCAGGAGGTGAACCAAACTTAAGAGTTGCCTGCCTGGGTCCCTTATCAACGGTTGGTTGCTCACCCTTCTTAGTGCCAAAAGGGACAGCCACCTTTTGCGCTGGAATGGCCGGCGCTGTGTCACTTAAAGACTGGTTGCCGGCACTCTGCGCAAGTTTACCCAACTGACTGACAGGAGCCCTGCCGTCACACGGTTTTTGAAGGGTTTTGGCTCCCGTAGCATGCTGTGGGCGCTGCAACCTGCCACACTTAGCACACGACCACTGCACTCCCATGTTGATCATGTCATGCGAGCTGTGAATATTCCATTGCTGCAAAGGGTCGCCTCGACCCTTACACGGGTGATGCATAAGGCGATCGAAGCTGGGCAGATCGTTGATTTGCTGCAAGTACAATCCACAAATTGCACACTTCATGGTCATGTTGGTGGAGCCCTCGGCTCCCTTGACCCACTGGTGACCCAGTGAATCCTCGTCGCCTGAAAGCCTCGCCAACATTCTCTGCTTCTTGTTGAGAGGTTTGGTGGCCTTGGCAGCACCAGTCGAAGCGCAAGGGGTAACCTCAGGTGTAGGGACACTGCAACCTGTTTCCTGTGGCAACCTACCCTTGCCTTTAGAAAACACAGGGTTAGGGAGAACTTTATTGCAAGAAGAATCACCAGACTCCTGTTTGCAACGTTGGAAAAGCCACGGAAACGATTTGTCATTTTTATGCAGAAGGATAAACCCAATTTTCCTAGCCAAGTGCAAACAAACCTCCTCCCAAAGCGTATCTATGCCGACTAGGTCCGGCTTGGTTGCAGCCTGAAACACCCCAGCAGCTCGCTTGCCACAGAGTGCATCAACATCTTCATTGACACGACGCCTCCATTCAGGAATGCCCCTATCAGCATAATACTTGGAATCTTTGTGACTGGGCACCCAGGTAATGCGAGCTCTAGCTCGCTCAGACCAAACCAAACCCCATGGAGTAGGTCCCTCAAGAGGCGGGGATTTTTTAGTTACAACCTGAGCAACAGCTTTGCAGTCAACCGTCAAGTCGAAGGTACCTGAGACACGTGCGAAAAGTTCATAGGCTGCTTGCTGCTCCGCACCCGCAACCGACAAGGGCCGCTGTGGAAAAGAGGTGATGCTCGCAACACGGCGGGCCCCATCCTCTGTGATCTCATAGGCCCCAATGGCCCAAGCCACACAAGCAGAACGAAGGTCCCGGGCCCCTGGGCCACCTGAAGCGTCTGAAGCAAACACCAGATTGTCACTGCTAAGTACTTGTTGTGTTTGCCACAAACCCTCACACACTAAACCCGAGGAGCCCTTCGAAATTTTTAACCCAGTCGCTGCCTGAGGGACTAAACCCCTAAGCCAAAGGCAAGGCCATGGGAATTTCTGGCGGGCGGCACGGAAATGCGAAGGCTCAGGGTATTTAGCAGTGATAAAAGGGCAATCCCACAGAACGTGCTGCAAACTAAGTGGGCAATTACAAACAGTGCACCACCCCGGGCATGATTGACCAATCAAGGCCCCTTGCCAAAGTGCTTGCAAGTTCACTGCCATGTACTTGTTAAAAAACCTGCGTCGAAGGAGGCGGTTAGGGACGGTGAGGTCTACTCCCGAACCCAAATCCAAAGCACCTTCTAAGAGGGACACCCTCTGCAACTGAACAGTTTCCCACAGTGGCAAGAGCCAATGCCAAACCTTCCTAGTAGCATCATGGCACGCCCAATCAATGGTCAAGGTGCTGTCTCCGCGCTGCCAATGATGAGCTTGCGGCGCCTGCACCCCCAGCTCGATCAAGTAAGCGATCAAAGCCGCAAGCGGCCCATTAACCCGTTTCCACGGGTGTTGCGACGGCGAGAGCCATAACCAAATGCTCACCCAAGTAGACTTAAATTTATCCGAGTCAACCAAAACCCAACGGCGGAAAACCCTAGCCACAGCACGAACATGCTGACGTAACAAGGTGAGGTGAGGATCCTCGCATCGCCGTCGGTTGACAACAAAGGTGAGATCAAGCGATCCAAGCTTGTGCCTGCCTAGATGCTTAGCGATGAGCGTTCTGTAGAATTTACGGCGTTTAGGACTCACTCCCTGCGCCTGATGGCCCCAGAGGCCAGCCGAGCACACAGATGCTTTCACGATGCGCAAACGGTGCGCCCTCCCCGGGATGGCCAGACGGTTGAGTTTCCGCGACCTGCCGGCCGCCTTTTTCCTGCGCTGTTCCGCAAGCCCCAAAACACGACGGCGACCACCGGCTGAAGTCACACCAAGGTCCCGAGTCATCGATTTGACCTGAGGATCATTGGCATCAAGAATTTTGCTCATGGCCTTGGCCGCCTCCGTCGACGATGCCACAAAGCATGTTTTTGAAATTGAGATCTGAGCTCCCCTAGCTTCCAAATCCCGTCGGAGAGCCCTGAACAGCAGAAGGGAATCACTGGCAACCTGCACCGGAGACTTATTAACCGAATCAAGCGACAGGTCATCAATCCAAATGTCAAGGTTGCATGCACTTTTCTTTGAAGCCAGCTTTTCAGCAACTGGGTGGATGACGAGTTTTGATACCGACGGCGCCGCTGGACATCCAGCCAGAACTCCCCTCCCCGGCCAAATGGGAGGGCACAATGCACCTTCCGACTGGATAAAGCGAGGCCCCATGTAAGTAAGCAAGGCCTGATGTAAAACTAAAGGAGGGTAGCCCAAAGAAAGTCCCGAGCGAATGACGTCATCAAAAACACACCTATCGTAGAATGTCTCCATGTCTAGGAACAATGTTATAAGGTGGGATTTGCACCTCCGCACCGACTCTCCCAGCATCAGCCTTGCCAGTGCTACGTCAAGCGCCTGGCCACCCGGGACAGCCTTGTCCCAAGTGGCACGAGCAGCATAAGCAGCCTGCCACGTGGCAACCAAAGGCCACCGCAGCTTGGCCCAAGCACGGTAAAGGATATGCAACAATGCAATGGGGCGCTCACGTTTTTCGGACTTAGGCAACAAGGCTATAAGTGCAAACACCATTTGGTCCGGCCAAGAAGCCTCGCGCTCACAGTGATGGAAGAATTCAAGAATTGCCTGCACAGCTTCAACACTGCGGTTACGAAGCATCTCACAAGTCCAGCCATCCAAGCCGGGCGCTTTGGTGGGAACCTTCTTGAAAAACCCTACAGCCCGCTCCAAGTCGATCGGATGCAACAACCGGGCTTGCTCCTGCGCAGCATGCTTCAAGGAGGCCAGCAGATCACGATCGACCCCAGCTGGATGCGACCACAGTTCAAACCAATGCCTCCACCTCAAGTAAATGCGTTCTTGCACAGGGGCATCAAGGAAGGGGCGAACAGTTACAACCTCCTCAGCCTTAACACTACGGAACAAGGGCCTCATGCCTTTTTGAGTCGACTGCCGGAGCCATTGACCATATGATGCACTTTTCTCTTGCTGCCATTGTTGTTGATGGGCCTTATGCTGCTTCTGTGCAGCTGCACGCAGTCCAGGCAACACTCTCACATCCCCTGATTGCAGGAGAACCTGAAGGTCAGCTTGAAAGGCATCCCGATCAGAAACCGCACCGGCCCACATGCTGCCAAAGCGGAGTGAGGCCGACCTGCCAAAAGGGCTCACGTGGAAACGCTTTGAGCAAGCTTGCAGCCACACAACCATGCGACGCCAAAAGGAGGCGAGAGCCCCTCCCCAACCAGAAGCAGGAGCAATGGGGACAACAAGGGGCCTCCTGCAGACCTGGACTTTGGCACCTCGGCCTTGACTACAACCAAAGATCGAAACTTCAACATCCCTACTGAGGCTGGCGAAAAGCGCACTCAGTCCAGGCTCAGCGACCTCAGTCCCAAGCAGATGCAACTCCTCCTGGGATTGGACGGCTACCTGCTCACCACGAGGGTCAGCGACAACACTCGAGAGAAAGGGCTGAGGCTGTAACGGTGCAGGCTTAAAAGCAATCAACTGCGGCAGCTTAAAGTCAAAATGCTCAAGCTGCAGTGTCCAATGCAAGGCCGCATGTGGAGCAAAAGGAGTGTCCCAATCGACAACCAACTTAGCACCCGCAGCCAAGATGGGGGAAAGAAGGCCAAAGTCAATATTGCCTCCCCAAATGGGATTTTCTCGTCGTGGGCGAAACAAGTCGCTGCCAGGCCATCGGCCGGCGGTTTGGTGTGAAACAGGCGGTTTGGTTTTGCCCACCTTTGGTGGGTTCTACTCACCAGTGGCTTCCACTGGGCTGGAAGAGCTTTGTCAGTAGCACCAGCCTTCTGAGCTACACCAGCTGGTCTGGTTACTACTGACACCAGTTCTGTAGGTTGTGGGGACTGGTTTGGTCCTACAGCTGGAGCTCTTTGGCCCAGACACCAGCTGGGCTGGTTGCTACGAGCACCAGTTACCTGGTTTTCACCAGCAGGGCTGGTACTGGTAGCACCAGTTTGGAGTTGTCCAGGCCTTAGCCTGAGCTCTCAGTCCCTACGGAAAGGGGAGGATAAGCCACGTTTTTCCCCGTACCAATTCTTCGTATCAAGTCGTGCCGGTACTCGTCCGGGAGGAGGGGCTGGCCCAACAGTCCCTCCGGCGTTACCGCCAAAACGCTGGTATCCACCAGCACTTTCATGAGGGACTCAAAGTCCGTCTTGGAGAGCTTGGTCTTCGCCAGCTCTTTGAGAGCAACCGTGGTGCTCTCAAGCGACGTGTGATGCTTTATCACTGTCAGCTTGAGCTCAGCCCTCAAGGGATCGTCGATGGATTTCCAAAACCCCGTGAGGCGCTGGACGGTTGGCCATTGGGGTCGGGTTCCCTCAGGGTAAGGGACCCACCCCAACACGTCCAGCATCACCATTTCCGGTACAGCCTGTCCTGGTTGTGTGAACCTCAGGCCCATGTTGGCCTTCCCTATGTCCTTCACCAGGAGGATCTTCGCCAGGAGGGCCACCGTGAAACAGGCCTGGAAGGCTTGAAAGGTGCTGAGCTGTGCCGGTATTGAGTGCACCGCCTCCATCTCGATGAGGGTGACCCATTTGGGCTCCTGGTCTGCACCAGGTCCTCTTTCGCAGAGCTGGTGAACACCAGCTTGCTTGGCGAGGCCTGGAGTCATGGCCCCCGTGACCTTGCACACCAAGACTTCTTGGTCTTGGGGGTATACCGACAGTTTCCATACGACCCCCGGTTTGTGGGGTGTGAACGTGACCACTCGTGAGCCACCAAGGCCAACTATCACCAGGCCGAGCCTGGTTACCCCTGAGACCTCTGTGCTGAAGTATTCAACTTCGCATGCCTCAGCATAGCGGCTGTGGCATGGTTTCACGTTCTTTTTCATGGAGATGAAGAATTTCATCGTTTGGGCATAGTCCGGGTCTGGACCGGTAATGCCTGGCCCCGGGGGGAGCTCACGGTTCCTTTTTGGCTCTTCTGAGCTGCTCCCTTCCGGGGTACCCACCGGAGCTGGTGGGCTTGCCTCCTCTAGGCTTTCAGAGTCTTTCTTCTCCTCCTTTACTGCTGCCTGGTTCACACCAGGTTCAAGGGCCGCACTTTCAGGCTCCGGCTCTTCTTGCTTTACTGCCTGGTTTTCACCAGGGACGGTAGGTGGGGCCTCTTGTGGGGACACCGCCGGCTCTGTTGGGCTTAGTCCCTCCCCGGCCAGCCTGTCCACCTGCCCTTCTGGGCTCTCCTCCTCTTCCTGGTCTTCACCAGGTTCGCTCTGTTGCTCCTCCTTGTGCTTGGGCGAGCTGGAGGATGAGGAGGAGCTGGGTTCACCAGCTGGGCCGCCCGGCGCAGCGGCACGCCCTTGACGTGCCCTGGCTCCTTCCCTTATTGTCTCAAGGAAGCTCGCCGTGGGCCCAGCTTTGGGAACCACAGGTTCCGACTCTGTGCCGGCTTTGGGAACCACAGGTTCCGACTCTGTGCTGTAGTACGAGTACTCAGCAGCTTCCGCCGGGCCCGGCGTGGTCTCTTCCATTGCTGCCGCCGGGCGCTTTCTGGCCGGTGGCGGCTTCGGCGGCACCTGGGTTTTGCCTTTGCCTTTTGCTGGCCCTTTTTCTTTGCTTTTGCCTGGGCC